TATCAGCAACAGAGTTGATTGATGTATTGAATGATGGTTTGATGAATATGGGAGCTAACGCTATGCCGGGCAGGCCTATTGTGCATGGATGGTTAGGTAGTAATAGTTGGAGTATAGTTGTATAGGTGTAGAGGGACGAGGAGCAGATATGATGATGATGATGCGTTTAGGTGGGGATGGTCTATTCGCCTTCGTCGAGTTCCGTACACCAGAGGAGGCTAGTATTGCTTTAGAGAGGCTTAATGGACATCAGCTTAAATCCTATGGTGCCCTTACTACTACTAACATGCTACTCACTATACTCGGAATGCATCAGGAGTAAGCATCAAAGTCGGGCGTCCTAAAGGCTACATGGGCCCTGCAGCACCAGACGATTCAGTGAATGCTTATACTGCGGGTCATGCAGCGACATCGAGTACTACACCAGGAGGTATATCCGCGGCTGAAGGTATGATGCTTATAGAGGTGATCATGGATATGTATCATGCTTGGTGTTTCATTAGTATCATCCGATACTAGCAGACTATGCCTCATTGGATTCCCTCTGAAGGCGAGTGAACACTCTATTAAACGGGCATTAAGGAATGCATCTAAGGGGGAGATACGTCATCTCGAGCTACTCAAACATACTTGGAATGATGAACAGATTGTAGTACACCAAACGACGAGCAGACGACCATCACCTATGCTGTTCAACTTGATGTCGTGTTGTAGGTCATGGCTGTCTTTGAATGTGTGAATATAGAGGATGAACATAGACTCAAGAAGAAGGGTGAAGTAGAGGTACAAGGTGTGAAGGCTAGGATTATCAATCCTAAGGATGCTATCGTCAAAGGGTAAGGTTAATAATACTATTACTACTGCTATCATCATGATGATGATGATGATGAGTGTAGTTACATGAACTTTGATGGTGACATAATGAAGAAGGCTATGGGTTTGGAGATAGTACCTTCCAGGATACTAGTCATGACTAACTTTGCTGGTAGTGTTGAGGAACTGTTAGATGATATCAACTACAGTGACCTAATGGATGTAGTACATGTAGAAGACATAGACATAGTTGTATTATGGCTCGATGATCAGGATATCAAAGTGGAGTGTAAGTCGATAACTGCTGGTGCAGATGTCCGTAGCATCATTATTCCTCGTCCCGAATCCACAATGCAACCAGCCAATGGTAATGATGTGGATACACCTGTTGGGCAGCAACCACCCAATGGGGATATTAATCATCATGACTCGGCTACGATGGAGGATGACGCCGGTGACCAAAGGGTAGTAGTACTTAGCATGGCCTGTGATATCATAAACAGTTGTGGTCTATCTCAGAGGATACAGCTGCAGTACCAGCAGTCGATATGCAAGTACCTGGTCTTGGATGCTGTTTATAGAGTTCCGATGTCGAAGAGCCGGCCAGGTGAAACGTATATTAGATGGC